ACAACCACATTGGTTCCAACTACAACCACAGCTGCTCCAACAACCACAGTGGCTCCAACAACAACCACAGTGGCTCCAACTACAACCGCAGCTGCTCCAATAACCACAGTGTCTCCAGCACCGACCACAGTGTCTCCAGCAACAACCACAGTGTCTCCAACAACAACCACAGAGGCTCTAACAACAAACACAGCAGGTGCAACTACACCCACGACTGCAGCAACAACAACCACAGCTGCACCAACAACAACTGCTCAACCAACACCAACCACAGTTGTTCCATCTACAACCACAGCTGTAACAACAACCACAGCTGCTCGAACAACCACAGTATCTACAACAACAACCACAGCTGTACCAACAACTACATCGGATTCAACAAACACAGTATCTACAACAACAACCACAGCTACACCACCAACAACAACAGCTGTGCTAAGAACATCCACAGCTGCTCCATCAACAACCACAGGTGCTCCATCAACAAACACAGTGGCTCCAACTACAACCACAGCAACTCCAACAACGGCCACAGAAGCACCAACAACAACATCAGCAGCACCAACATCAACCTCAGCAGCACCAACATCAACCACAGCTGTAACAACAACTACAGCGGCTCAATCAACAACCACAGCTGCTTCAACAACCACAGTGTCTACACCAACAACCACAGTGTCTCCAATAACAACCACAGAAGCTCTAACAACAAACACAGCTGCTGCAATTACATCCACGACTGCACCAACAACAACCACAGGTGCACCACCAACCACAGTGTCTACAACAACAACCACAGAAACACCACCAACAACAACAGCTGTTCTAAGAACATCCACAGCTGCTCTATCAACAACCACAGTGGCTCCAACTTCAACCACAGCAACTCCAACAACGACCACAGAAGCACCAACATCAACCACAGCAGCTCCAACAACAACCACAGTGGCTCCACCTACAACCACAGCTGTAACAACAACTACAACGGCTCAATCAACAACCACAGCTGCTTCAACAACCACAGTGTCTACACCAACAACCACAGTGTCTCCAATAACAACCACAGAAGCTCTAACAACAAACACAGCTGCTGCAATTACAACCACGACTGCACCAACAACAACCACAGCTGCACCACCAACAACCTCAGTTGCACCAACAACAACCACAGCTGTACCAACAACTACATCGGATTCAACAACCACAGCTGCTCCAACAACCACAGCAGCTCCAACAACAACCACAGCAGCACCAACATCAACCACAGCTGCTCTAACAACATCCACAGCGGCTCCATCAACAACCACAGGTGCTCCATCAACAACCACAGTGGCTCCAACTACAACCACAGCAACTCCAACAACGACCACAGAAGCACCAACATCAACCACAGCAGCTCCAACAACAACCACAGTGGCTCCACCTACAACCACAGCTGTAACAACAACTACAACGGCTCAATCAACAACCACAGCGGCTCCAACAACCACAGTGTCTACAACAACAACCACAGCTGCTCCAACAACCACAGTGTCTACAGNTCTAACCACAAATACAGCTGCTGCAACTACAACCACGACTGCACCAACAACAACAGCACCTGCACCAACAAACACAGCAGCTCCAACAACGACCACAGTGGCTCCAACTACAACCACAGCGGCTCCAACAACCACAGTGTCTACAGCAACAACCACAGTGTCTCCAACAACCACAGCTGTAACAACAACTGCATCAGCTGCAACAACAACCACAGAGGCTCTAACCACAAACACAGCGGCTCCAACTACAACCAAAGATGCTCCAACAACCACAGTGTCTCCAACAACAACCACAGTGTCTCCAACTACAACCACAGCAGCTCCAACAACCACAGTGTCTACAACAACAACCACAGCTGCTCCAACAACCACAGTATCTACAACAATCACAGCTGCACCACCAACACCAACAGCTCAACCAACAACAACCACAGCAGCTCCAACAACAACCACAGTGGCTCCAACTACAACCACAGGTGGTACAACCACCACAGTGGCTACAACAACAACCACAGCTGCACCACCACCAACAACAGCTCAACCAACAACAACCACGACTGCACCAACAACAACCACAGCTGCACCACCAACAACCTCAGTTGCACCAACAACAACCACAGCTGTACCAACAACTACATTGGATTCAACAACCACAGCTGCTCCAACAACCACAGTATCTACAACAATCACAGCTGCACCACCAACACCAACAGCTCAACCATCAACAACCACAGGTGCTCCATCAATAACCACAGTGGCTCCAACTACAACCACAGCGACCCCAACAACAACAATAGTTGCACCAACAACAACCACAGCAACTCCAACAATGACCACAGTTGCACCAACAACAACCACAGCTGCATCGACAACAACAACGGTTGTTCCTACAACCACGGGATATCCAACAACAAACACAGTGGCTCCAACTACAACCACAGCGACCCCAACAACAACAATAGTTGCACCAACAA